ACAACAAAATAGGACACTAAATGAGATCATTAATGTGACAACAAAATAGTTGCAGCTTGATTAAACCAAACTTCATAATTGACAATAGGACCCTAAATAATTGATTATAGATAAGTTGTAACCCTCTAAAAGAAGCATCCTATAATATTTACTCAAACTGATATTGCCTAAATCTAACATGTAGTGTGACTTTCTTCAAAGACATATGCATCACCATTATTTATATTTAGAAATTTTAAACTGGCGCGTGAAGTTATCAGCGTTATACAGTGTCATACTAATGCAGTGCATGGATTATCATGAAGGACCATCACCATGTGCGTGTTAGAGAGAGAAAAAAGAATACCAGAATAGTTGTGGGATGATTCTCCATTCTGTAAAGTGTGAAACTTTAAAGACAAGGAAATGATGTGACCTAATTTTCTCTGTTTAATCAAAAGTGTCTGTCCCTTACTCATCTAGAGGGTTGCAACTTTATTATATGTTTATACATATTTATGCCACATATGGATTAATCAAACTAAAGTAATCTCGTACTACAGTTTATAAATTTATATACTGCCATGCTTATTTTGTATGTTTCGTCCGATTTAGAAAAAGTGTATGCCTATTAAAATTTAACCACAATTAGATTATCATCAACTCGGTGATATATTTGACTCTAGTTCATAAACTAGTTAGTTAATGAATTTATTAGATTGAATAGGAGACAATAATAAAAGCAAAGAAGCAATTAAGTTCGATGGAGAGTGTTTACAAAAATTATAACAAACGCTCAAGTGGTTACTTCCTTTACGACTCCTTCAATTTTCATGGAAACTCATAATGTTTCGTAATATTATTGATTTGATTAGATTTCTTGTAGTGTTGGAAGTTTTCAACCCTAACGTAGGTCGACCATTCTTTCAAATATGATCACTCATTATAACTTAAATTGAGATCCCCCTTTTGATCAGTCAAGTTATTATACTGATATTCCAATAAAAAACAGCTTAAATCATGAGCTACTTAATTATTGCTCCGCAACAAAATAAATCATTATATCCATTGTGTTTTCCTTATCCAATAGAAAATTCACAGCTATATATATATTAATGTTTCGTTAAGACAATAAATTATTCGTTTATATAGATTTCAATCGCTAGAATAGTTAGGGCTGTGCAAATTATCCGTTAAATTCGATCCGATTCGGTATTTGTTTCGATCCGATCCAAAAAATCCGAATATTCGTTTTGAATCAAAGCAAAGCAAATAATAGAATTTAATATCCGTCTAAATCGAAACAAATCATAAATACTAATTTTAAAAATCTGAATATCCGATTCGATCCGTATATTACTTATACATACATATAATATGGTAGATTTATAACGTATATTTACATTTTTTAATTTAAATATATTTGGCGAATATATTTATAGTAAAAATAGATAGATACTAATTTTATTTGAAATATATTTTATAAAATATATATAT